CTAAATTATTGCAAAACAAAAAATAGATATTCAATACATTCCCGTTCGTAGTATTGAATTGAACGACTTTTGTTAGTATTAGTATTGATTTGATTTTGGTTTGGGCTTTTGTTAGCATTATTTAATTTACTAATATTAATGACTATAAAACTTATTGGAACATTCAAAAGTTCTAAGTCCAACATTGAAATAATACCTTAAAAGGTAAAATTATGAAAAAATTTAAGAAATATTTATAAATTACATCACAATAAGTATATTTATATATTAAATATATCTAAAATTTCTATATATGTAATGTCGGGGTTGGTTTAGTTTCGGTTTGACTTTCTTTAGTTAAAACCAAACCAAACCAATTATGGTTGGGTTTCTTTTTGCCAACACCAAACCATAATTGGGTTTTTTTTCTCGGTTTGACTCCGATTATCGGGTTGGTGCAGTTTGTCGGTTTCCTTTGTACACTAGCTTTATGCTGTTTTTTTACTTTAGATTGACTAAGTCAAGCAAATTTATCTGACTAATTTTTTTTTAAATAAGCATCCTTGCTTTTCTTTTCTACCAAATTTCATCTAAAGGTAGAATGAGTCAAATTAAACATTAAAATACTCGAAAAAAGAAAAAGAAAAAAAAAACAGAAAGTAAGGAACAAGTTAGGAAAATTAGGAGTAACTTTGTGAAACACACCTGCTGGTGTAGCAACTTGTTGAGGATGGTGGACTGGACTTGAATCTGCTGATTTAAACAAAGGCTGTATTTTTGTAGACACTGCACATTTGCTCTTGCTCTTTTTCTTCTTCTCAACCTTGGATTCAACAGACACTTTCCTAGGATAATCCTCAAACTTCATTTGCTTTTTCACCTTATTAGCAATCCTATTTTGTTTTCCACAAGCTTCTTTTTTCTGGCCAGTAGTAGACATATTTAATGATGTTTTAGCAACATCAAGTTTCTTCTTCCCTTTTTTCTGAACATTTTTTCTACTGCTATCTGCAACCTTCTTTGGCTTCATTAATTCTTGATTTCCCACCTTACTGGATTTTCTTATACTAAAGTTCTTTTTCTCTTCTTCATTATTGAAGCAAAATACCAAAAACTCTGACTTGAATTCTTGATCAAAATTTGGTATTTCGCGAAAAGACACAGATGTTCTAACTCTTCTATGATGAAAATTTTCAGTTAGATTAAACTGCATCAAGTAATCTAGAGAATTAACTGACCTGCTTCTTGGAAATGAACCAACAAACGTGTTTTTTTCTTCAGGTAATGAGTCTAATCCCATTAGTCTTGCTACAACTCCTGGACTATTGGCTTTAACTTTATTACTATTAATATTTTCATCAGCCTTGAAAGGTAATTTCTGACTAGATTGATCAAATTCTACTCCATTTGGTTTCGTATACTGATCAGAAGGGTGTGTTGGGAGGCTTCCACCACAAAGTAGTCTTTGAAAAATGCCTGAAAAACACTTAGCGGAAGTTGCATCCTTTTGATTTTCAGCCATGTTTTGAGTTTTCAAGAAAATGAGAACAAAAAATTATCACTACTTAGTGACTGAAAAAGAGAAGAAAAGTCACTAAATAGAATGGTTTTTATAAAAAGGGATTGATAGAGAATGATGAAAGGAACATCAACTTGGTTTTTATAAAGGAGTTGAAAAACAAAAACTCAACTTCAAGAAATTAAGCATGAAAAGGACCTTTTTTGTTGTTTATTTTTGCAAGATTTAAGGGGGTGGTTTAATAAAAAAGGGATGATGAAAGGAACATCAACTTGGTCTTATAAGGGAGTTGGAAAAAAAAGGACAATTTCAAGAAGTTTAGCATTGAAAAGGACTTATTATTATTATTTTTTCTTGTTTATTTTTGCATAGTTTGGGAAAAAAAGAGGGG